TGCTCTCCCTCAGCCTGACCTTGCATGGAGTGTGACTGTGCTGGATGGCTCGATCCAGCTGTTTGGGCTGGCACCAAGTCAGTGGCACCTTGTGGTTGGTTGCCTCGAGGCTGCAAAGGAAACACAGAGTGTGAGGTATTGCTGTTTTGCATTAGTGCTGTGGGCAGCAGCTCTTGATGAAGGACACGGAAGAGTGTTTTATTCTGTCCTTGGAATTTGAATGGAATCAGATATGGACCTGCTTACATTCAAACCACCTTGTGCTGTGACTGCCAGGGCTTCTTGGTGATGTCCTTGTAGCTTGCAGTCCCTGAAAACACAGTGGCATCCTTCATGTGAGAGATGCTGAGCCATAGCTACCTTCTGGTACATCCTGCTTCTCTCAGATTTTCCTGCCATGTAGGATAATCTTCTTTTCCTGCTCTTAAGCAAAGTGCAGTCCTGCTGTCCCTGAGCTTGTTTTAGTTGTTGACAAATTCTGAGTTTTATGTTTTTTTCCTTCTGTGGATGTTTGCAGGACAAAAGTAACTTGAGATTTTTTCAGAGTGTTTAGAGGTACTGTGGCTGTGATGCCTGCTAGGTTCCTGTGCTTGGGGATGGCAGGTAGACCTAATACTCCAGAAATGTGGAGTCTGTTCCATTTGTCTCTAGCTGGAGCAGCCAGAGTTGGGCCCTCCGTGTGGATTGGGGGGTGGAAGTCATACTGGGTTTTTAATCTGCCATCTGAAAGCAATTCTAATTTGAATTTCTGCTTTGTGTTGAAGTGTCTGAGTGATCTGCAAATATGTTACTGCATGGGTGTTTAAGGGATAACTTTAGGCAGAGGAGATGAGCATTTTGGTATCAGGGGAAAACCAGAAGCTTTTGCTCTGACTTGTTCTCCACAGCTGCTTTTTCCCTGTAACCATGGGAGAGGTCTAAGGAGTCTTGAGTCCCATGCCCTAACAAGATGGGGTAGCATGTATGCAGCAGACTGTGGTGTGGCCTCTTGCCAGTGTTCTCCAGAAGAGAACATTGGGGCTGGTGAACTGCCAGCTCTTATCGGTGCATATCTTTCTCTCTGGCTTCTTGAAAAATAAGTATATTATTTCAGGATGGTATAAATCAACTGGTCGCTAAAATGGCAACAGGTGCCTGGGGATAACTCATGTGCATAACACTTCCAGCTTTCCTCCTTTTCTGAAAGCATGGTAGAGACAGAACTTCAAGCAAGGAAATATCAAAGGGATCCCTTACAAAAAGAAGCTTTCAGCTTGTCTCTCCAGGACTGAGTGTTGCTGAAGCAGTTTGTAACTCTGCGCTCCCTAAAGAGCTTTGTCTTAATGGAGCTGACTGTCCATACTACTTCAGGCTTTTTCTTCTACTTGAACATTAAAGCTTTTCTTACTTTTATTTTTAACCCAACTGCAACTTGATCACTCTCCCAGAGATCAAGTTGACTTTTTTTTTCTCCCTTCCTCAGTCAAAGTTGTCAGAAGAGAAATACCTCTTCTTGCTGTTTTCTGTGTTCCTGGTCACTGATGGCTGCTTTGTGTTGGAGCAGCTGGGCTCTTCTGTGACAAACTGAGATGTCTCCCTGGCTGGTACCTCCTTTCTCATTTCTATCACATGTAAACGTTTTGGATGGGGAGGGTGGGTAATCTCCCTTGCTGGCCTTTGTCTCCAACTAGCTGCAACCAGGCACGTCTTTGACTGCAGGGCTGATAGAGGATGTGGGAAGGGATACATGACTGATGTTATTTAGTGTCTTGGCTCACCCAGGGGTGCATGAGTGTTCTCCACTCCCTGGCAGAAGAATCCCTGGCATGTGAGAATGAAGGTGGCTCCCAGAGAAGATATTTTGAAAAGGACACACCTTGCTTCTTTGCTTCCCCTCTTCCAGGAGGGGTTAGGAAATGGGTTCCTGTTCCTGCTCCCTGAGTAAACCAACTGAGCAGTGAAAATTGCCTCCTGGGCCGTGTCAGCAGCGGAACAGCAGAGGGTACTGCAGGGCCAGCTTGCTTGGCAGAGCAGCCGGGGAGGGCTGTGCACACCAGCCCGGCGCAGGAACGGAGGCAGCGCAGCCCTGCCCGGAGCTCTTTGTGCCGGTGGGTGAAGAGATGCAGAGCCACATGCTGAGCCTGACAGATACTGATGTATGCAAATGTCAAGTGAGGAAAATATGCTTTGCTTCCTAAAACCATGCGTCCTGCTATGTTGACACGGCGCACTACATCTCAGAAAGCGAAGCGCTTTGCTGAATGTCAAGAGTTATGGCTTTTTGTCTGGGAATTTACTGTGGCATGCAGAGCATCACAGCCATCTGAGAGGACGATGTGTCTTGTGTGATTCCTTCAGCACGTGCCTTCAGCCATGGGCTGGCCCAGAGGAAGCTGGCTGCCCCACATTTGTGTGTCCTGTAGGAACTGGAGAGATAACAGTATTACCTGGCAGTCATTGGAATTGCTGTATTAGAGCAGGTCAGTTGTTCATCTTGCCCAGGTTTCAGCGTCTGAGAGAGCAGCCTGATGTCTGGAAGTAATGTCTTGGAGAAGTCACAGGACACCTGACTGGAGAAAGCTGTACTCATTTACCAGTGAGGGACACTTTCTACTGATACCCAGTCACAGCTATTTTAGTGGGTTTTTGGCTTCCTTGTGCTCTTCTCTTCCCCACACTTCAAGACAGACAAAAGACTGGTGATGTGCAAGGAGAAGGCACTGAATATTCCTTTACCTTACAAGTGATCTTGCTGCTTCTGCAATATATTAACAGAGCCTTAAGAAAAAAAATGATCATGAATAGAAAGAGATGCTCATGGGGTTTTCTGCAGCCCCTTGTCTTGCCCCCATGAGGAAAGCTTGACAACAAGCCCCAGGATGATCTTTTATTGCTCTTAACAGAAGAATATCCAGCCCCATAATGGCTGGGCCACTACAAAGGTGATGTACCACCAGCTGAGCAATGACCAGAGGCGTGTGAGGTCAGACCATGGAGCTGTGGTGGATGAGTGCTGGAGGTGAGGGTCTGCTGTGGTGCAGACCCCTGAGGAGAGCCATTTCCTCCCTTTCCCTGTGTCTAACAAGTCTCCCAGAGCCAGTACCCTGCCCTGCTGCTGACTTGTGTTGTGGCAAAAACCCCTACCAAACATTAAGCAATAGAATCAAGCTCTCTCTCATTTTATCTTGTTTTTCTTTCAATTTTTTCCCCTCCCATGGCCATGCTGTAACTTTTCCACCAGCTTCAGGCTTGCAGTCCTTCAGCCAGGGATTAATCTGTGATTCCTTGCCCTCACACCTGAGCATGGGTGTCAATGCCAGTAGATGGTGACTTCCACTGAAAACATGACCACCAAGTGTCCAGGAACACTGTTGCTGAGATGAAAGGTACAACTGTGGACAGCCCCTCTACCAAAGTCCATGTCAGAGCCATCTGTGGGAAGCCGGATACGTTTTCCTTTGAGCAGCTGCCATCTGTCTAAGTGCTTTATCGTTTTTCACTTTAGTATTAAATTCTCCTCAAGTTAATCAATAAACATGCTTTGCTGTATTTTACCTAATACCCTCTGAAGCGGCAGGAGCGGGTTGCGTTCTTCTTCTCTCTGCCCCCACACCTGCCCACGTGTCAACCTTGAGGAGCCTGTGGGGCTGGTGGTGTGGGGCAGCTCCCCCGTCACCCCCAGGAGCAGGGACCGCCTCCTGTGAAGGCATTGCTGGCACCACTGTATGCCAGGTGGAATTTTTCGGGAACTTTGACCCTGGAAGGGAGGCTGCACCAGGGAGAGAACCAGCAGAATGGAGCACGTGAAGGGGGTGAAATGGTATGTGGCACATGCACGGGGATCTCTGCCTCTTTGTCTGTCACTGCAGCAAGGCTGTCATGCTCCAGGACAGCCTCTGCCTTGAAGGCTACTTTTAGATGACCTCTTATCCATGCCCACTTTTGCCCCAACTTGCCTTTCCTGAGACAGCAGACAGTGAGCACCTTTTCTGCTTTTCCTTGGTGAAGCATTGTCTTTCTCTTTTTTTTTTTTTTTTTTTGGGGTCCTTTTTCTGAATTGTAGTCTTCAATCACTTCTCTGCCTGACAGCAGCTCTATGTTCCCTGCCTGGGCTGGAGGAGTGGAGGTGGTGGAGGGGAGGATGAATGCAATATTTCATGTTGTTTGGAGGGAAGGGCTGTGCACTGCTGGCTTCTTCCTGGCCTGACATGGATCCATCATGATGGCACAGTATTACCGGCAGAGACAGCTAGGCATTTATTTTTGTCACCTTGATCCAGATGCAGAAAAATCTCAGTATCTGGTCCACAGAAAGTGAAAAAGCAAATGGTAACATATGGAGATACAGTGGACCTGAGAATCACTGGTGGGAGAAGAGTAAATGTGACAGGATTTTAATTTTATTTTTGTTTTCCTGTCCTCCATGTGAACTTGGCTAGTATTTCTTAGGAACAGGGGTGATTTTTTTTAGGGTGTGTGTTGAACAAATAGTCTAAAGATCAGGAGAGTGTAGGCTAACTCTGGCAGTCTGACTAATGATCTTGGTCCTTTAACTGCCTCTCTTTTGCCAGTCACGTTTCAACCATGCCTTCCAAACTCTCTTACCCTTCCTGCTCTCTGCTCTTCATTTCCCCCCAACCCTCTGGTGATGCACCTCTGAGGAGGTTTATGTTCATTTAATTTCCATTGGTGAACAGGGACAAATCTGCCAAGTGTGGTGAGTTCATAGATCATGGATTCCTGTTATTCTGGATATTTGTGTTGCCAGTACCTTTCTTGTGTTTGTGGATTCATGAGACTGATCTAGCAGAGGTTCAGCTTGGTGTAACCCAACTGAAGCAAAAGGCCCACTGAAGATGGCAGGGGGTGGGGGTGTAGTTCTTGGAGCCAAGTCTGTAAAGATGCATGCTGAATTTGGACCAGCATTCCTGCCTTCCCAAACCTGTTTCTCTAACAGTGGTAAACTTTTTGCACCTCAGTAACTACTGAATGTAACTCTCCTTTTCATGGCTCTTCCACAGGATGAAGATGAGACGCCATAAACTCTTTCTGACTCTCTGCATGGCTGGTCTCTGCCTCATCTCCTTCTTGCACTTCCTCAAGGCCCTTTCCTATGTCACCTTCCCCAGGGAGCTGGCTTCGCTTAGTCCCAACCTCGTCTCCAGCTTCTTCTGGAACAATGCCCCCGTCACGCCTCAGGTCAGCCCTGAGCCGGGGGGTGCAGAGTTCCTCCGCACACCCCTGTATTCCCACTCCCCTTTGCTCCAGCCCCTGTCTCCCAGCAGAGCCAGCGAAGAGCTGCACAAGGTTGAGTTCGTGCTGCCAGAAGACTCAACGGAGTACTTTGTCCGTACCAAAGCCGGTGGCATTTGCTTTAAACCAGGCACCAAGGTGTTGGAGAAGCCGCCCGTGGGAGGTCGGCAGGAGGAGCGAGCGGATGGCGCAGCCTCGGGGCGGCCGGCTCGGAAGCCGCTGAGCTCCAGCGGAACCAAGCGCCGCAAGTGGGTGGAATGTGTGTGTCTGCCGGGCTGGCACGGCCCCAGCTGTGGGGTCCCCACCGTGGTCCAGTACTCCAACCTGCCCACCAAGGACCGCCTCGTGCCGCGGGAGATCCCTCGGCGGGTCATCAACGCCATCAACGTCAACCACGAGTTTGACCTGCTGGATGTCCGCTTCCACGAGCTGGGAGACGTGGTGGATGCTTTCGTGGTGTGCGAGTCCAACTTCACGGCCTACGGAGAGCCGCGGCCCCTCAAGTTCCGCGAGATGCTCCTCAACGGCTCCTTCGACTACATCCGCCACAAGGTGCTCTACGTCTTCCTGGACCACTTTCCCCCCGGCGGCCGCCAGGACGGCTGGATTGCTGACGATTACCTCCGTACCTTCCTCACCCGGGACGGCATCTCTCGCCTCCGCAACCTGCGCCCGGACGACGTCTTCATCATCGATGATGCTGATGAGATCCCGGCCCGTGATGGCGTGCTCTTCCTCAAGCTCTACGACGGCTGGACAGAGCCCTTCGCCTTTCACATGCGCAAATCGCTCTATGGCTTCTTCTGGAAGCAACCAGGCACCTTGGAGGTGGTCTCGGGCTGCACCATGGGGATGCTCCAGGCTGTCTATGCTACCGACGGGATACGTTTGCGGCGCCGTGAGTACTACACCATGCCCGGCTTTCGGCAGTATGAGAACAGCACAGGACACATCCTGGTGCAGTGGTCGCTGGGCAGCCCCCTCCACTTTGCTGGCTGGCACTGCTCCTGGTGTTTCACCCCAGAGGGGATCTACTTCAAACTGGTGTCAGCCCAGAACGGGGACTTTCCCCGCTGGGGTGACTACGAGGATAAACGAGACCTCAATTATATCCGGGAGCTGATCCGGACTGGTGGCTGGTTTGATGGTACCATGCAGGAGTATCCCCCTGCTGACCCCAAGGAGCAGATGTATGCTCCCAAGTACCTGCTCAAGAACTACCAGCGGTTCCGCTACTTGTTGGAGAACCCCTACCGAAAGGTGGAGGGTGCTGGGTGAGGCCACCGAGGCTCCAGCTTGGGTGGGAAATCAGAACTTTAGAACAAAGGGAAAGAGTCGGGTGTTTTCGTCTGTTCCTGTTCTTCTTTAGTTTCCTTTGTTTATGGGCAGGGTGTGCCGTTTTTCTGCGGTCTCTGCCCTCCCTCACTTCCCATTCTTCTTCCCTTCACCCCAGGGTGATGCCTGGGAACCCAAATTCCTCAGTCACACGAAGGGAGGCCTGGACAGGAGGGAGAAAGATGCTGGGGACCTGTTCCGTAGTAGCATAAAGACTTTCTTGCATCTTCCAAACCTCTCCTGCTGGCTGGAGAGAATCTGCAGCCAGCTGGCAGATTTTCCTCCAGGGAAGGCTGAGAGGGTCCCATGGGGAGAGAGGGCAGCTGTTCCCATCCACCCTCATCCTTTGTGGATTGGAGCAAGCATAGATGCAAGCCTGGGCTGTTCAGTGAGCGTGTGAGTCAGCAGGCACAAACTCTTGTGAGTGGTTGTGTGTGCAGATGTGTGTCACTGGCATTTTTTGGATGAGTGAATGTGCAAAAGCATCTTGGTATGCTTGTTTTTTGTTTTTGTTTGTTTGCTTGTTTTTGTTGTTGCTTTTTTTTTACTACCTCTGTATTCAGAGGGTATTTTGGGGAAAGGAAATCCTTTGCTTCCAAGGTGTCCTTCTCAAGTTGCAGCCCCTTGCACAGGCTTAATGCATTCCTGGGCTGGGTCTTGCCCCAGTATTCTAACAATCCTGCAGGAGATGGATAGGAAGCAGAGGAGAAAGCTGGGTTTGAGGGGTTTTTCTGTTCATTTTTCCTCCCTGCCCCCACAACACTGCATGGACTTGTCCTACAGAAGCCAAAGCATCTCCCCTGCAGTACATGCTTTTGTTGGGGCTGAGATAAGCTGCAGGGGACTCAGTCAGATGGTGGGAGTGTATGTTTGCAAGTGCATGGTTGCCTGTGTGCATGAGTGCTCACATGCATGGGTTTGGTGTGCACCTGGATGTTTGTTACCAGTACTGGGGGGGAAGGGCTTGGCTGTGTGTGCTTGCAGAAAATGGTGATATCCAGAAGCTCTCGTGTCAGTCTTGGCATGGATGACTTTTTGGGCAATGCATAGGAGAGGACCAGGGATAGCAGTGGCTCTGCATAGCAGTGCTGTGCATGTGGGACTGTTGCATGCCTCTCTGGCTGCCTCTAGAGCCCTGCAGGCTGTGCCTGTTGCAGGGCTGCTGCTTATACATGCTGGCTACTCCTTCTTACTATGGGGTAATAAAAGGGAGAAGAGGAATGGCCAAGTTCTGATTGTTGTGGGCAAACAAAGCTTGTCAAGGCACAGGATCAATCTGTCTGCCCTCAGGGTGTGAGGGAGCTCATGAAGAAACAGGCTGTGGGCAGATTCTCCCTGGGGGCAAGAGACTTTTTGGGGACCACTGTGCAATCCAGTGTGCGCAGCCCACATCTGCAGCCTGGGCCACATAGACAAGACCATGGAGAGGAGAAGGGATGTAGGAGGGTGCTAGTTGCAGCTGTTTGGGCTGGTGTCTGCTCAGGCCATGGGCAGTGAGGATCTGGCCTGCTGTTGTATTGGGTCATTCAGCTCACTGAGGAGGCAGATTCTTGTCTCCACCCTTACCACCACCCGTCCTTAGCAGATGGCTTGACAGGGTGCCCAGAGCCTGGGTCGTAGTGGGCAGAGGGTGAAAAACATAATGAACTTGCTCTCTTAGCCTTGCAGTGGAAAGACTGACTCATGTTCCAAGCAGAAATCATATGGAGGAGGATAAAGAGGAATGCGTTGGCACAAAGAAGTGTGGCCCTTCTGGCCAGCTGTTCTAAAGCAGGAGGGTTTTCATTGCCCTTAACTCCATCAGGGCTCCATGGTCCTGTGTTGCCCAGCACTTGCCATTGTGCTTCATTCCTACCTATGTCTCTCACTCTTTTTCCCTCCTAGTCCCCTCCTCAGAGAAAGTGAAATTCTCAACAAAAATAACTTGCTCCCTAGTAAGGCTGAGACTGTAATAGAAAGAAGATTAATGTCTTTTTCTGTTCAAATTGAGATGTAGTTCACCTTAGCTCCTTCCACGTGTTGTATGCCATAATGCCCGCTTCGAAAAACTGAAGGAACTTCCTTTCTGTTATTATTTTTGGTTTCTTTAGAATCACTGTTCTCAGTGCTGTTGTGTCTTCCCCACAGGCAGAGGAGCCCCTTTGGGAACTGGGTGGACAGACAAACCTAGCTAGGCAGAATGCTCTTCCCCCAGAGGGAAGTTGTGGCTCTTTAAAGTCCAGACTTAATGATGTAGCAGAAGGAACTCGTCACAGACACTGGGTTCTGGTGCTGAGCAACTGTGCAGAGGTCTTAGGTGTAGAGAGATTATAGAGAAATGGGGTCCTAGCTGAAAAAGTTTTAAGCAAGATGAAAGCCATAGCACTGAGGATGCGGCACAGGGGGAAGATGCTTTCCCCAGGGCCAGCTGGAGGAGGGCAGGTGTGTTAGCTCATGCAATTTAGCAGCAGAAAAGTACGGAAGGAAGAAGCCATTTCTCATTTTTACTCTGAGGAGAGAGCCTGAGGTCTCCTCTTGGACTTTTTGTCTTTACCTTTTCTCAGTGATAATGCAAGGCCAATACCAGGCTTTGCTGGAGACAGAGGACAAAGACAAGCCAGTCTTTGCGTGGGTGCTTTGGCATCAGCAGAGCCCCACTTCAGCAGCAGCTGAAGTTCATGTATGCTGGGATTGCACCTCCTTATCTCCCACAGTGGGAGAAGCCTCTCCTCTGATATCAGCCCTTCCCATACACGACCATCCTTGGGGATTTTTAGTGCACAACAGTCATGTTTTCAGTGTTGAGATATGGCCCTTGTCTCTTGGGAGTTTGATAAGCCCACAGCTGCAGTATCTGCTTCTCCTGCTTCTGAAGTACAGCCTGTTGCCTTTTCTCCTCTACTATTTGCTCCACCATTCTCATCTTCTCTCTCTGTTTTGTCTTTCCCTTCTGCTCCCTTGGGCTGGAGAAGGAATTCTGGGGCTCTTGTGCAGGACTCCTGCCCTGCCTGCCTCCTGGACTTACTTCCTTCCTTATTCTTAGGAAATTAAATTTAATCCAGACTTCTGCTGTAGTGGGAGGAAGGGACTTTACAGATGACTTGCATTCTTTATTGTTTCTCTTTCTCAAGAATTGTTTGAACATTTTTTGATTTAAGGCCAAACCAGTCAATGTTTCTGTCTAATTTGTCTGGCTAACCCTGTGTTTATTATCCTTAGGGAGCTAGAGTGCTTGTCATTAAAAATCTTCCTTCTTGTCCCTGGAGGGAACAGACACTACTAAGCTGGCATTCACACAATGATTTTCCAAGGTGGTGGCTTACCCTCTGCTCAGCCTTGCCTGTGCTGCCTGTTGGGACTTCTGCAGCCAGCTCCTGGTGGGACAACCACTCCTCCAGGGAACTGCCACAGGAGAGATGTCAAAAGTATGTGGGTGTGTGAGGTGGTGAGAGAGGCAAAGCAGGAAGCAGGTTTGTGTCAGATCCTTGTTTCCCAGTGCTGGACTCTGTGGTGAGCACTGAAGCTCCTTCATCTTACCTGAACCAGGTTCTGGAATTTGAGAAGGGAAGGACCAAGAACCTTGTCCTGGCACTGGGCTGGAACTGGGATTAGACTACCAGAGCCTGATGTCTGCGGGTTGTTGCAGACAGCGGGCAGTGAATCCTGTTGTCTCTCTTGGACCAAACTGTCTAGTGGACCAAGGAAATACATCACTAGCCTTTTCATTCCCAGAAGATTTTTTTACCTCCAGGTTGGTAAAAAGTGGGACCAGGAAATAGGCGAAGCAGTGTGTGGCACACCCAAGCCCTGCTGTTTTTTCTGTTTGTCTCTTGTTGTCTTTCTTTGTGCCTCTGACCTACAAAGAGATTGTGTTCCTATACATGGCTTTGGACTGGAGAACGTCTCTTCCTCTTTTGCCCCAAGTGAAAGGAAGGAAGGGTGTGGTATTTGGTGGACCTGCAGCAGGTGAGCTTGCTAAAGCAGAGGGAGTAGGGCAGGTCAGACATATTTGCCCATCTGGGGGTAAAGCGACACCCAAGTGACAGAAAAGATATGGTGACTTTGTGCCTGTGGTTGGTATGGAGGATGACATGCTCAAGCCCACTCTTGCTGTTGCTTTCTCTGATCCCTGTGTCCTGCTGAGGTGTTTGCTGTTGTGCTGCCCAGGCCAACCTACTCTGTCTCTGTGACAAGTAAACAAGGAAACTGAGTTGGCATGGAGGGAGAGTGTCAGAGCAGAATGGCTGTTCATTCCCCCCTGCCTGCCTTGCTGTTTCCTTGTGGGTTGGTGTCTCTCCCCCTCCTCAGTATCCCCAGGGCTCTCTCCCTGTGTCCCAGCTCCTGCCGGCAATCTCTGTGGCTGTTATGCCTCCGCACTGTGAAGACGCGTGTCCAGGGTCACTCCTGGTTCCATTAGTGAACACTGGTGGTGAAGAGGGAAGGGATGCCTCATCCTGGTTTCACTGACCTCTAACCTTGGTGAGAAAGGAGGGAAGTGAGTGGGAGAATGGATCCTGTAACCTTCCATCATTGTGTTCTCCCTAAGCACCTCCTTTCTGATTTCTGAGACATTGGACAGACTCACTCCTGTTATGGAAAGGGAAGGGGAGCTGGAGGGTAGGGGGGTGGCAGGAGGGGCTCAGATCCAGCATAGAGAAAGAAGAACTGTTTCTAATGCAATACACTGACATTTTAAAGCTTTGGGCACTACAGGTAATGGATTAAGAAGGGATCTGAAATACTTTGAGACTAAGAATTCAAACCACTGTTTTTTCCTGCCTGTGTGGATGATGATGCAGTATCATCCTGGAGGTGGTCCAGCAGCACTTCTGAGCCTGGGGTCCACCTGGACCTAATGCTGGTGTTGCTCCTGGAAGGGCTCCAGGACACCCTGCTTTGGACAAAGAATGCGTGGACTTGCCAAAAACTAAAAAGAAAAGAAAAAATAAGAGCATCTGCAAAGCTCCTTTCAACTCTGTAATTTATAAACAGCAAGTAATAATGAACTTTTTGTAAGGATAAATCAAATGTACATTCTGAAATCATTTTCTCTGTAAATGGTTGGATTTCATTTCACCCTTAAAGGGATGCTTAAAAGGAGGAGATAATAATAAAAATTAAAAAAAATTTACAAAGTATGAAAGGAAACCAAGATGTGTGTGACAGCTTTTATTTCTGATTGCCTGGCCAAGAGGGAAAATGCTGGAAAATGGAGTGAGGGAGCTTCCTATCTTGGCAGGACACTGTTCCTAAGAAGGGAGATTGAAGGAGAGCCTAGCTGGTCTGGGGACTGATTCCTGGTTTTGTAGGCCCATGTCAGACCTAATCTGCATGTCAGGTGAGTATGAACATGTGAAGGCACGGGAGTGGGGAACGATGGCTGCTACGTGGCTCTCAGAAGAGCTGGTGGATGTGGGAACCAGCATCATCTCATAAAATGGTCCCTCGAGACCATCTTTAATCCTTTGGATGCATCCATTTTTCCAAGTAAAGACCTGGAAACACCAGAGCCCCAAATTAAACCTCCCCACTGCAGAAATGGCTCTCTGGTGGCTGATTTTTGGCACAGTGCATGAAACAACATGACCTCCTTGTTTTGGTTTATTTTTAAACCTGTCTGCTGTAGTTTTGGCTGTTCCCATTACTTGGTATCAAAGCCTGGTCCTGCTCTGAATCCTCCTAACCATCTGGCCTCTGCAGTGCTTTTGGCAAGGGCCTTTTGCAAGCTCATGTGCCATCTACAGCTATTTAATTTTTTACCTTTTTAAGTGTCTTATGTTTCAGGTTCATTCCTGATTCCATTTAGAAATAGTGACTGTAAGCATCATAGGCTATTTTCCTCATAATTACTAGCTCCAGTGAATTCTATCGTCTTTCTTTCATCCATACCAGTCTAATTCTCCTCTTGTGGAAGGGTCTCATCAAACTAGAGGCTTGTGTTGTGCATTGCTGAATGCAATTCTGCTGCTTCTGTCTCCAAAACAAAAGGCATGAAAGCAACCTGCCACTCAAAATCAACAATTAAAATTTTCTGTTTAGAATTTTTAGCATTCTTAGTGATCACTGTATTTTTGTGCCTGAACAGGGGATAATCTAAAAATAGTTGATGACCAGCATGCTTGAAATTTCAATTTTTCAAGAGGGGAAGTATGAATCTATAAACATAGTCCAATGGCAATTTAATGAGACAGTTTAGGATGTGAGAGTTGACTAGGTCAAAGGTTCTCCCATGTTATTTTTCTTGCCTCTAACACAAAATCTTTACTGACATTTGTATTATTTTTATAAGTAACATAAATGGCATTTCTCTTGTTTCTTGTGAGGTTTTTAAAAGATCTTTTTCCCTGGAAAGCACCAGCTTCTGCTGCAGGAGCTTCAAGTGCCTCTGTGAGTGAAAGGGGTTGACTCTTGGACAGACCAGTCTAGGGTGGAGACCTTCATTTGCAGGAGCAGTGGGGAGCACGTGGCCCCACCACAAGCCCCATTTACCATGTCAGAGGGTCCCTCAACACACCAAAAGAGATATTGCTATGTGCAGCACGTGTCCTGGGTAGGGATACAGAGCCTTAAGCACCAGATTGAATCAGGAGCCTGCAAGCCATCTGATGCCAAGCAAATCCTGCGTGTTTTGCAGAATTTCAGTACCCCAGCAGGTGTTAGATGGGGTGATGCATTGTGGAGGAGCTCTGGCATAACCTGCCTGGAAGCCAGTGGTTTCTCCCAAGATCTTCCTCTTTGTCATGGATGCCTGGTGCTCATCCTGGGCACTGTGCAACGCAGGGAGGCTGAGGGACCCTCTGGCTGACGGAGGGGCTGGTTCCAGCTGATTCCTTATTGATGCCTATCAGGCTAGCTGATAAAGGGATGGACATGCTGTTTCCAAACACCAGGCTGCTTGGAAACAAAATGACTTCATTATAAACTTAAGACACCTTTCAGAAAACTGGAAATGGGATACCAGACCCCATTTTGCCAGCTGTTTGTTTTTGTTGCTGGGATACGTTTGTTCCCTGTGTAAGGACACATTTTAATGTGCTGCTTAGCAGGGACAGTTAATTTTTAAGTATTAATCCAATTTTATATTATGCTTCTAAATCTTGCTGCTTTAGTGGCTCAGCTGGGGAAGCAGTGAGGTTTCAGCTGGCTGACAGGCAGCTCGTGGAGCAGCCAGGGAGAGCCACCCCAGCCCTGGAGAGCATTGCCAGCAAATGGCTTCATGCTCACGTGCCCACAGCTGCAGGCACTGGCTGCCCTGCTTCCCAGAGCACCGCCACAGAGAGGATTTGGCCACAGCCATGGCAGAAGGGAGGCATGTTCTTGCTTCCTGGCAGTGGCAGGTGTCCCTGAAGCTCCTGGGCCAAGGCAACCCTTCCCCTGGGAGTGAGCTTTGCAGGGCTTTGCTTCCTCGCTGCAAAACTGTCCCGTGTGAGAGAAAGGGGCTCCAGATCACTGAAGTGAGAGGCTGACATTAGGAAAATAATCCATGGATGCTTGGTTGAGGAGCCTGGCTTGGGGCCAGGCTGCTGCAAGCTCTGCTTTTGTAGCTGCAGCAGGGACAAGCGCATCAGCAAAAAGGTAAAGGATCAGTCCTCTTCAGCTAATGTTTGGGATGTTACTGTAAGCATCTCTGAGATCCCCAGACATGAACCTTTACTTGGAACTAAGGGACATCTGGAAATCCCAGCACTTTCAGCATTTCTGTGTGTGCTTATTTTTTTTAAGCAAAGTGAGAAGTGAAAATAGTCCTTACTGTCTTTTAAAATACATTACAGCTATGTAAGAATACAAATCTTTCAAGGCCATATCTCTCCTCACCCTGCCAAATGAAACACAATATAAAACTCCATTGTTTTACTCTTGTGTTTCCTGTGCCTTATGGCTTGAACCATGGATCCTCTTGGCTGAAGTCCATCCCAGTAACGATTTAATTTGGGAATGCACTTCACCTTTCTAAAAATAAGGAAAACTGAGAAGAAGAGCAAATAAGCTGTGCTGAATAAAGGTCTAAAATGACTTCTCCAGGATCTGAAATTAAAGAAAATATGTTATCCAAGGAATGCATAAAATAAAATAACATAAGCCTGTCTCTATGCAGCAAACTCTTTCCTGGCATTTTAGCCCTGTTCTACAGTCTGGACTTTTTCCAAAGAGAGAGCAACAAATCATCAGTTATATAAATATATATATATATTTTTTTTTCCCCTCAGACATTTACTAAGAACCAGGCATACACACAAAAATAAAAGAATGTAGAAAACATCTACCCACTTCTTTCTGCTTTGTGGTGTTTTTAAAGCATTTGTCTCAAAACTGTTACCCAGAAGTGAATGTCAGACCACAGCAAAACCAAAACCTGGTAAATGGGACAGAAGTAAATCTAAGTGCCCGTGATCTAATGGGGCAAGGTGTGCAGTAGGTGCCTTTGCTTAGAAAAAGCAGAGAAGCAGCTGGATACAGCAGCCATGCCCTTCTCAGGTGGTCTATACATACATGGGGCCAAACCACATCTGATGCTGGAGTCCAGATGACCCTTACACAAATCAAAATCCCATGTTCGGCGTGGCCTCATCCCAGCACACAGCAGGTGAAGGAGCACAAGAAAGCCTGAGGTCAGCATGTGCAGCTCAGCTCAGGCAGGTGGTACCACCAGCTGCAAGCCCTCTGTTCTCTGCCGACACTTTCCCTGCAGAAAACAGGGGCTGTCTAGGGATGCAAGATTGCAAGGACAACAGCACTCACAAAAGCAGGGTCTCTGAATGGCTCTGTAAACCTCCTGCAGCATGCAGCTGGTGCAAAGTGAAAAATGGGGTGGGGGAGGCCAGGGGATGGAATCTTACTAGTCAGGGGATAATGAGAAAAGTCCCCAACAAACACAGCCACAGGGAAATTTGTTTGAAGAAACACAAGTTGCGCTGGGAGTGAAGGTGAGCACAGACCAATTGTGAAAGTACTACAGAAGCAATTTCAATGTGTTAGGTAATAAAACTGAGCCTCCTCAGTGACAGTGCAGTCCCTCACAGGGACAGCAGCTCTGCTTCACACATTTGCTGCTGCCAGTGTTTGCAGCCCCCTGCACTGCAGGGATGGAAATCTGGGGATCTGAAAAGCCCCACTTCAGCTGCAGCAAGGCTGGGACCTTTCCCTTCTTCCTCCTGTCAAAAACATACCCGGAGCATGGCTTCCCAGATCAAATATTTACTGTCCATACTAAAATGTGTATCTCAGCTCTAAATCAGGAGTGCTCCTTGAAAGGTGGCTATGTACCAGTGGTCTCTCCTCCCACACCACCTGTCTTCCTTCCCATATGCACTCAACATTGAAGCTGCTGGGGCTCCAGGGAAGGAAGCCACGTGTACCACTCTTGGGCCTCTGCCCCCACAGTTCGTCACAGCTGCAGAGCAGGAGCCCAAATGCCATTAATCCTTGTGACTGCCCACAAAAAGTAAAGAAACAGGGCTGCAATTAAGGAGAGAGCTGTTGAACGGGGCTGAGACTGCCAAAAGGCCCTCTACGAGGTCCATGTGCTAGAAGATACTAAGGATGTTAAGCTCAAGCTCAGATACAATTAGTGGGTCGCTATCCATCTTCCTCTTTGCATTTTAGAACTGCTGTCCAGGCTCCTCCTAAGAGACCAGCCTTCTGCTTCCAAGCACAGTTTGTTTCCCATCCCTGCAGAGCCCCACCAGGATGCCATTTGCAGCTCTGAGGCTCACATTCACCTCCCTGCTGCCCAGAGAGGGTTTGCTGGCTGGTGACAGGCAGCACAGGGATGTCTCCCTGGCTGGGGATGGTCCTGGTCTCCCTGGTGGGAAGTCCTGGGCATGGCACTTGGTTCCCAGGAGTAGAGGCTGCAAGCCAGGCTCAGGGGCAGCCATTTGCTGTTTTTAGTGGCCAGCAAAGCCTGTGGCAGTGGCTGCTTGAGTGGGAGGACTGTCTGTAAGCATCAGAAGACCAGCAGAGGAGTGGTGGCTCCGGAGACTTCCAAGGAGGCAGAGGACGGGGAAATGTCTTAGTGTTAAGGTAACAGCACGGGTTATTGTTCCCTGTCACACACGGTGCCTTTGATATTTCAAGCTCACTTGGTCATTTCAAGAAACAAAGGTTGCTATTGCTCTCCAGGAGCACAGCAAAGGTCTGCTCCCTCCTTT